CACATACTCTCCAGATCAGCAGAGACCTCAAGGGTCTGTTAAATCTCACACTTGCCCTCCTGGAATTTCCTCCCATACATCCCAGAAACATGGTCTTCCTGGGGCAGGGACATCTGTGAGTTCGGGGAGCGTGGGATTTGTACTCTATAAGCCAATCACTTTGCCCGCCATGCCTGACACCTCCTTCCAGTTGGATCCACCTTTCCCAGAGAAGCAGCATCCATTAATCCTGTCCTTAGCCCCCAGCACACAGGGAGCCCCAGTCAATGCTCAGGGACTCATTGAAAGGTGTTTCTCTAGCAGTTCTCATGTGCAGACACTGGACATACCGGGGCACGCACAAGCCGACCCAAGTCCTACCCTCTCAGAGCTTATGGTCTGGTGAAAAAAAAAAAAAAGAGTATGACTGTAATCAATAATTCCATCAATAAGTGTAAAATTGCTACTAAGATGAGTGCTACAAAGGAGAGGTACATGGGGCCATGAGAGGCTGTAATCAGGGAGGACTTCCCTGAAGAGGTGATGCTGAAGCTGAAAAATGAAGGATGAGGAGGTCTAAGCAGAAGTGGAATGCATGGTCAGAGCAGAAGGGATAACATGAGGAAAGCATCACATTAGGCATAACATAGCAAGTAGAGGGATGCACAATTGTGTCCCCATACGGTCTGGAGGGCCAATTAAGGATTTGTCTTTCTCCTAGCAGCAGAGGGAATCCCTGAAGGTTTTTCAGGAAGGGGTTAATAGACACAGATCTGTTTATCTAAAAGGTCACCCTGGCTGCTGAGGATGAGCCTTCCCAAGTCTCTGTGTGTGTACAGTTGACCCTTGAACAACATAGGTTTAAAAATCTGCATGTAAGTAGACCCATGCGAGTCAAACCCGTGTTGTTCAAAGGCCAACTTTTTCAACCCACGGTTGGGAATTCATGGATGTGGACGGCTGACTCTAATTACGTTTTTGCGGAGTCAAAAATTATAAGATTTCTGACTACGTAATGGACGGAGGGGTCGGCACCCCTAACCCTCATGTTGTTCAAGGGTCAACTATACTTGTCTCTGCTTGGAACATTCCTCTAGTCCCAGTCAGGACAAACTAGGTTATGCTGCAGTAACAAATAATCCTAGAATCCCAGTGGTTTAAAACAACAAAGGCTTGGTTATCACTCATGGTGCATGTCTATCATGGGACATCAAGGGGCTCCACTCATGTGACCCAGGCTAGCAGGAGCAACCACCATCCCGCCTAACGCCAGCTGCCATGCCACAGGAAAAGAGCACTCTGTAGGGTCCATATCAGCAACTAAATGCTTTGGTCCAGAAGTCACACGTATCACTGTAGTGCACAACTCACTGGCCAGTCACACTGCTCTACCCCAGCACACAGGGACCTACATTCAGTCCTACCATGTGCCTGGATGAACTGGAAATATTTAAGGGAGAGCATTAAGGATCATCAGACACTTTCCCACGCCATCTTGCCCTTCGCCAACCTTAACTCATTCATTAGACAGCAACTGTTTCAGTATTCCAGAAGGAGGGACCAGCATGAACAAGACACGGAGTGCAGAGAGATCCAGGGGAGGGTGAGAGATGAAGCCAAGGAAAGGACAGGGGCTAGATCACTCAGAGACTTTTAGGTCATGGTAACAATTTGGTTCTTTATCCCAAAAGCACTGGGAAGACTTCAGGCAGGAAATGGAAGGCCTGATGTGATCTTTGGAATCGATCACTCTGACTGCAATGCTGAGACTGGCATGGAAGGGAGGTTGCAGGTGGACAGTTAGGAGGCTCTTGCTATCGTCCTGGGGAGAGACAGCAGTGGCTTGACTAAAATTCTGGAAAGGAAGAGAGGGAGAGACGTGGACGGATTCAATGTATAGGCTGCAGTTCCCTAGATCTGGAGCTAATATACATTGGGGTGAGGGAACAGAGGCACCAAGCTTTCTGCCTTAAGGACTAGCAGGATGGTGGTAGCCTCGGCCAAGATCAGAGCTTTGGAGGTGTAGGGAGGAAGATTATTGGACAGCCTTGGACTCCGAATGTTGCTTATGACTATGAGATAGCCAAGAGGCAGGTGAAGGAGGCAACTGAATCAACAGTGACGACTCCTGACTCTTAGTCCAGTGTTCTTCACTTCCTTCATACTTGCCAATAACCCAGAACCAGGGAAACCTTCCCCACTACCCCGCCCAACTGTAAGTCCAGGTGAGGAAAGATTCAGATGAAAAAGTCTTAACTTGACAGTATGGAGAACAAATTTATGAAATACATTAATCTAAGGGGTCTAGAGGACAGAACTGTCCTCTAGGTCAAAATAGTATATAAGTGATGGTCGTGATGGCTGATCAAGGCTTCTGGGACAAGGAAGGAGAGCCCCACATCTTTGAGAATGTCACTAGGGAAAGGAACTAGACCCTGTCTCAGCTGCTCCTTGGAGGTTCTGTCAGTTTGGGACAGGATGGACGTGGCTGGGGCCTGTCAGGCATTTCTGATATTCCCAGTATAGCATGTGTACTAATCTCAGGGAGAGAGAATCCTTCTTAAATCATACATCAGCCATGGGTGAGGCATTTTATCTCTGCCATTTCATTTGATCTCAAAACTGCCTTGCCAGACAGGCTTTGTTGACTTCATTTTAGGGATAGAGAAGCAAGGTTCAGAGAGGTCAAGGTAACAGTGGCAAGTCCATAGTCACACAGTTATTAGGCAGGGAAAGGATTCCGATGGAGAAGCCCCCTTCCATTAAATCCACTCAAAGGGCCAGGGCTGTATTCCCAGAAGGGAAGTTTTCAGACACGTGCTCACAGAACACTCTGCTTGCCCACCTCTCAGAGTTGGTGGGCAAAGACCATGCCCCACTCCCCAGAGAAGACCACACACAGCCTGTTATTTCTGGCCCGCAGACCCCATCCCCACCCCCAACACCTTCTTTCCTCTCAAGGGGAATGTGGGGAAAGACAAGCTTGGGTGCCGCAGGCAGGATGCTCCACGCAAAATTCTTTTGCCCCAGAACAGACAAACCCCGTAAAGTTTATAGCGTTTCCAAGCATCAAAAGCAATCTCTCATTACTGTCTCCTGTCCCCGCGCACAAAGAACTGGGTGTGTTTCCTTTCAGCCACTCTAAATTATATACCATAGCCTTTCTCCACATAAAGCAAACCGCCTAAGAAGGAAGAGAGGTTCAACATTTTTCTCCCCCGAGTCCCGGCCCATCCTGGGGTAGTCTAAGCCTCTGGAACTCAACCTGGTTCAAGGTACAGGCAACTTTTCAATCAGCATCGCCCAGCACCCAAGACATTAGTATTCTCCTTGAAGCAACTTGTCTAGGGCATGCTGGCCTTGACCGGAGAAAGGTCACTGGCCGCGAAGTTTCCGCAGTTTCTGCATACAAGAGAACCTTGGGTACTGCAACTGGGAGGGATGGAGGCTACACTCCGGAGAATTCCCAAAGAGTCTACACCGCAACTAAGATTTAAAATATATTAAAGAAACGCCCTCCGGTTCGATCGCATTTAGTGGGAAATCGTGGACCGCGATGGAAGAAGCCCTTCACGCATCCCCAAAAGACCAGAGCCCTCCGCATCAGCCCCAGACGCCCAGCGAAAGTGCTCGGGAGAACTAGGCCAGCGGCCGCGCTGCAACCTCCAGCCTTCGGCGCCCCGCCCCGCGCGTGTGACCGCGGACTCATTCCGAACGCTCTGCCCGTGCCGCCGTTCCCATTGGTCGGCGGCCACGTCCGTCAGCGGGCAGAACGGCGGCGCAGAGAAAAGGCTACATTGTAACAAGGCGAGCGAGCGAGGAGCTAGTGGGGAGGAAGGAGGCGGAGGGGCGGTCCCCGAATCCCGCAGCAGCGGCGGCGGCGACGGCGGCGGCAGCGGCAGCAGCTACCTGCCGAGGGTTAACCCACCGCGGGGCCGGGGCGAGCCACCCCTCC